AATATGTAAACCCAACACAGTGGAATGTCCACAAAAAACTGCCAGTGCTGACAAATGATGATACTCTCCTAATATCATTTGGCCTATTACATTTTTCTTTTGCTTAATGATCACATCGAACATAAATTGAAGGAACTGTTGCGAAACAAACGCATCCTTTAAATACTAAAAAAGACATTACTATCTAACTTGCGAGATTATTTCAACACTCGGCAATATGCTAACTTAATTGTTGTCTGTTTTTTCTTGCAAAGCAAACAGCTGGGAAACAAAAGTCGTCTTCAGTCACTTCGCGTACTGTAGTCGTAGGTAGAACAATCTCTCTAACGTTACTTTGCGTTTTGATTTGTAAGTACAATTTTTTATCAGAACAGTATATGGATATGTACCATTATATCTGTAAAAAAGGTTTCATTGTGCCAGCAAATCAAAAAAATTTCAATGAAATGTTCAAGTATATTTCGGCAGTTAAAACATCCCATTTTTCATCTTTTCGATAAGATAAGTAAGAGCCGCTGGCCGAAACTAGCACCCAAATATGATATAACAGACGACTGCTCCAAGACAAGACTTCATTGCGCATTGCATTGTCTCCATGCCTCTAGTTGCCTGAGAAGGAGGCAGCACATTACACAATAAATTTTGGTCTTTAACGAGTCAACGTTTTTCTATTTCATGGCAAATTGTCAATCAGCAGTGTATCAAATTTACCAGCAAAGGCCGTAAGTTAAAGCAGCGGTGGGATCATTCGGTTTCACTCATCTCGAGGTACTTACATGAACTGCGCAAATTTTTTGGAAAATGAAACAATTCGTTACATACTATTTTTGCAAGATAGGTGTAGACGTTGCTTTCGCCGTAAGCAGTTCTGGCTGATGTGATGGATGCGTGGATCAACTCCTCATCTTAAGCCTCACAAACACAAAGGAGAAGAAAATTTACTTAATATTTTCAGTGTTTTGGAGATAAATATCTCGATGGTTATAGACGTTTACGAAGGTTTATAAACTTTTCGGTGTCACCTACGTTGTTCTGTCTTTGTGTCCGTAAGCGAGGTATGAATAAAGCTTATTTAAATTGCTGTATTCGACCTTTCAAAAACTGTTATACTGTCGTGGTTCGCACATTCGCTAAGTTTTTATTAACCGGCTGCATTAATGAGCTTTTATTTCTTCCACTGACTGCAGTCTCTGCGTTATGTAATATAGTATGTAAGAAATTGTCAGGCGCATATCACTGCACAAGCCAAATGATTGATCGCAAAGTGCCTATCATGTTAATACAGTTCTAAGTCTGAATTTCGTTCAGGTTGTCCCCCTATGCTTGAAACCAAAGCGCGGAGGAACAGAGACGAGCAGCTGACGTTGGCCGTGGCCGAAATCGTGTCGGCTTTGGTGCAGGCCCATCGTGACGGTGTCAACGTGAACCTAAACCGTCTCAAATCATGTGTGTCGTCGAAGCACGGGCTGAGCTCACAGCCGCGTTTGTTAGACATCATCGCAGGGGTACCTCCGGAATATCGATCGGTTTTGTTGCCCAAATTGAAGATGAAGCCGGTATTATATTTTCTGTTTTCTTGATATTTGCGTCTGTCGCGTGGGAAAGTTCTGGCGTTATCCGGTAGTCATTACAAGAGGTTAAGATTAATGTAGATTAGTTAATGTTGTAGAGTTTTTGTTAGTGAGCAAGTGAGTGAAACTCATTGAACCAACGATTATACCGCCATGAATCATCCATTTGAGACGAAGTCTATGGCATTACGACGCAGGTCCAGGCTGTCTGCCAAGACAGCTGGCTTACCATATCAACGGATCGCGTCGATCGTCGTACGACATTCGCTCTGCCACTGAGGAACAACGTGAACAACTTCATTGAAGATCCATCGCACCACTTACATGGTATGGTAACCAGTTGCAAATCAAAGGTGAAAGCTACGCGTACAGATCTTAATCCAGTGTACGTTCGTATTGAGGCCTTCAGTAGCTCAGCAATGCCTCACCTGATCCGGATTCTGAAGGATCCTCATGAATTAAGTGACATGTTACGTACAAAGTTGTTAACTTAAGGTTTTCTTTGTGTTCTTTCGTTCGCTATATATAATTGAATCTTGCCCAAATTCTGCTACCACTGAAAAGTAGAAACTTGCTGTCCATTAGAGCTATAAATAAATCTGATCTAAAGAAATTGACATTCCGAAATAAATGATATTGAAATGTCATAGCGCAAATAACGATTTTAAGCATACATTCAATTCGATTTAAACGTGATCGCGAGAAAATAAAACCGTTTTTCGACACGACGTAAAGTTGCTTAAAAATACGTGATGTAGCAAATGTAAAATATCGAACTGTGACAGCTGTCGCACTCGAGACATCTCCGCACATGACAGTAGCATGATTGCCACTACTCAGAAGCACTTTGGCGCATTTTGCGGTCCAGTTTTTTGACGTGTTGCATCGCCCCTTGCTCGTAATTATTTAAATTGCTATTTGAGTTGGTTTGATCACCTACAGTAATATATACATCTTCGGTAATTTCGATCTTTTCAGTCCTGGTGTACAGCGTCGAAACATTCACCTTTTCCGGTCCTTTTCGGTAGGGTTTCTTGCGGAACAGAGCGGTGGTTCCACTAAATGAAGAAGGAAAAGATGTTGAAGACGACCGGCCTGAAATGAAATGAGGGACCGGCGTCTCCCGTGGTTCGACAGCCATCCGGTGAGTGGATGGAAACCTATCCAATACCATTCTCCTCTGGAAATTAAAAAAAATGACCGCAAATGCGTTGGAGGCCAACATTGCATCTTAAAGCACAAACTGCCAGAATCCGACTTGATTGAGACGAGGAATACGACCTTTGCCACAGCAGTCAACATTTGCTGAATCATTCTGAGAAGCCAAAGCGTCAGATATCATTAATCTATCTACTCAGTCTTTAACCCTAATACTTCTGATGGTGATGACGACAGAATTTCGTTCATTGAGCAACATCATGGTCTTCACGAACGGAGCTGTTTTAGCTTATATACTACTGCATACACATCAGAATGTAGACGGCACTTATCATCATCACATATGTATTGGCAGAAAGCAAGAGCTTCAACAAGAACAAACGCAGAGCAGGTAAGTAATGAGTAGAACGCAGCAAAAACTTAAATATTAGAAATAACATGAGACAGTTATTGTAGTCCAAATACATTAAGGTGTAATAGTTTGAGCCTATTATGACTTTTGCAATTAAGACCTAAGACTGGAATAACATGTGTTGAAACACCGTTTGTATAATTATCGTGACATGTTGAGGTCTACTAGCCGGCGGCAACCGTGATGAGCTTTGTGGGAGTGGAATGGGATGTTTTGGCGCAGACCGCTGGTTGGTGTCACTGCTCAGTCCTACGGTCGTCGCAATGAATCTGTACTTGTGAACAGTTATCGGCTGCATCACCTGTGTGATTCAGACGATTATGTTATATTCGAATGGATAGCTCTCTGTGACTAACGTACGATTGTTCAAGTCATTAACAAGTGCTGAGTTTGAATCTTACAAGGAGCTCAGGGTTCGCTTTAAAATCTTACTGCTCTTAGAACATTGACATAAGAAGATAGATTAGCATGAACGCTGCTCCACGAGCTCCTCCAAATTTTGAAACGGTATACGGTTCTGCTGGAATCGTATAAAAGACAGGTGCCGTAACCAGGTGCTTTTGAACAGTTCCTGATCGGCGACAGTGGACCTATACCTATTCGTATGCTGTTGTTTGGCACTTAGGGAAATCTGCAGATCTTGAGGGAGTCGAGTCTTTGCATATGGAACGTTTCGACCTGCACATCCACTGTGTTCGCAAATTTTTCAACTACTTGCGGTAAGGTCTAGCGATGTTCATCTTGTGTAAGTCTTCGTCTTCATCTTCCATCGCCGCTTCTCCTTCCGTATCGCGGAGGCAGACGCGTCAGACAGAGCTTCCAACGTTCCCGTTCCTGTGCCAGAGATTCGGCAAAAGACAAATGCAGTCTGGAACAGATTCCTTCCATATGTTTGCACCAGGTTAATCTTGG